CACATAAACTTAAACCTTGTTTATTTGGCCTGTGTTAGCCTTTGAGTTTGACATGCTTGATCTACAGGCTGAGTCCCTATCGATCCACAGGTCCACAGGTTCAGACCTGGGCCACAAAACTGATTCTGTGAGGTAATTTGTCAGCTTCCATAGAGGTCATTCACCTGTCAGTCCTTTCAGCAGGATCAGTTCCACAATTTGCAGGGCCCAGTGTAAATGAGAATATGGGTCCCTTGTTAAAAAACAATAAACAATGTGGCATAGGAAAGAATCCAACCAGAAAATTAAACCAAATGCAGGAATCTTGTTCTACTACACAGAGTATACACCCATGAAACTAGTCCTGACTTTCAGATTATATTATTTACAATCTGTGAGTCTAAGCTATTGGTTAAAAAAAAAATTTAAGCTTTTCTGTAATTAGACTCATTTTCTTCACTGGCAAAGTACACTCAATCAGTTAAATCAAGCAAAAGAAGAAAAGGGCCACGGGAAGATTTGTTGTAAGCTATCAACTAGCAGCCATTACTCAGTTCAACTAACTTCCATTGAGAGAAGGGAGAAAAGGATATTGGTGGAGTGCTTATTATGTTTCCAGGGATTTAAAAATGGCCCTTGTTTAATTCCAGGTACCAAGTGGGTGTACTGGAAAGGTTTTTTGTGGGTTTTGGGGTGGGAAGCAGACTTGAAATGATGTCCAAATAACTTCACGTGCAAACCTTGTCCACTAGTTAATCTGGGCCAGTACTCAGGTTTATTCCAAACTAGTTTTCCTGTTGCCTCTGGGAAGATGTTGTGCTATCCACTAGGTAAGTCTTTGATGTGTAGACACACACCCCCCCCTCCCCCCCAGAGCAGCAGCTGGCGGCAGAGCCTCCCCTGGGGCTGCGGGGGCGACCCGAGGGAGGGGCGGGGCCGGGAGGGCGGGGCCGGAGGGGCGGGCCCAGGTGGGCGGGGCCGGATGGGCGGACTGGATGAGGTGGGCGGGGCCGCGGACGGACTGGGTGAGGTGGGCAGGTCCGGAGGGGCGGGCCCAGGCTGGGGCCCCAGCGGCCATGTTGAGGCCCCGCCTTCCGGCTCCAACTTGGATTCCAGCAGCTGTCGCTGGAGGTGAGACTGGCTGTGCACAGTGAGGGCTGTGCTGGGCTCTCCGGGGCCGGGGCTGCGGGGCCGGGGCTGCACCGGCCACCCGGCGGGGCCGGGGCGGAGGCTGAGGACGGCGGGGCCCGCGGGTGCGAGTGCCCACACAGCAGCCCCGGCCCGCTCGCTGCTCAGCCCGGGCCGCTGGCCGAGCTCAGCGAGGAGGACTTTGTCCGGAGGCGCAGCGCCGGGTCCCCAGTTCCCCGCGTCCCTGCAAGCCCTGGAGTGTCAGGGCGCCGCGCTGCCGCAGCCCGCGAGCTTCCCATTCCGTGGCCCTTCCGCCCTGCCCCGCCTGCGGTGCACGGCGCCGGTTACCGCGGGGACCAGCGGCAGCCTCAGCGCCCCGCCGCCGGCGCGGGATGCCGGGGCCGCGGAGGGGACGGGGGCGCGCCCCGGGTTACGGGGACCCGCATCTCCGGAGGCACTTGCGACTCTGCAAGGCTTGTTTGTGTTGCACATGCCTGTTTGAGGTCTGCAGTGGCCTTGGCGTCATTTCTGATGGCGTCATTGGGAGAGGCCTCTGAGCAGACCTGGGAGGAGGAGGTTATTTGAGGCAATGGGAGCCAACATCTGTCTGTGTTAGCACAGCCCGCAGTGCTCTAAGCAATACAGGAATTCACGCAGCCCTGGCGCCCGCCGGCTGTGCCACAATCCGGTGGTGCTGGGGTTGATTTTTTGGCAGTGTCCACTGGCTCTTAACCTACTCACAGTGTGTAGGTTAAGAGCCAGTGGACATTGCAAATCAAAGGATCAACATCAGGGAGTGTGGGAGCAGGAGCAAAAACACTACATGGGAAGAAGGAAAGAATATGTAAAAATGCAAAAAAACAAATTCCTGGAGGTGGATGGTATTTAGCTTCAATAAGAGTTGACCTACAGTTCTTGGCCGGACAGATTTAGGCTTTTTATCTTGCTCTGCTTTTCTAGTCCCCACTCCTATTTCCTTCACTCTCAGAACTTGACTACATCTTATACTTCTAAATTATATTTTAAAACTTAAAAAGAAATTATTATAGCACCTTAATCCTATAAAGTAGAAATGTTGTTTTATCAGCTGCATTTTCCATGCTACCATATCCAGGGTCAACAGTCACCTGTCTAAGGAGAAGAAAATGTCTCTGCTAAGAATGATTGATTAATCTGCTGTACATGTCTGTATAACCTTTGTTGTGGAAAGTATGTCCTGTTTATAAAACACGTGTGTTTTTTTTTCCAGGATCATTTACTCTTTGGTACAGACAAAAGAGCAGTTAGCAATTGGACAGGTAATTGAAGTTTTATATCTTGTATGTTACTTTGAAGTTGAATGAAAAATCTAATGACTTGGTTTGAAACATTATTTTGCTCATAAAGATTTTTTAATGAAAAATGTAAATTACCTAGTATGTCATATCATAAATCATACTATATCTAGTTCTTAGTTTATGTCATATTTCTTAATGAACTGACTTTTTTCTTGATTTATAATTGACAGTAGTTTCTAAAATGGATTGTTAGAGAAAAAAAACATGTAAAGCTTTTATTTATTTTTTATTCATTTTACAGATTTAAAAAATAGTATTTTTACTTTGTTTCCTCTGACCAAGAGGAAAGTATCTGATTCTGAATTTGAATAAAAACCAGAGGAAATAGACTAGTTATAATTTATTAAAATGAATAACAAAGTATGGAATGATAAAGGACAAACTAATTTTAATTGTTTTTTTAATTTATCGATTTCAGAGAGGAAGAGGAGACAGATAGAAACATCAATGATGAGAGAGAATCATTGATTGGCTGCCTCCTGCACACCCACTACTGGGGATGGAGCCTGCAACCTAGGCATGTGCCCTTGACCAGAATCGAACCCGGGACTCTTCAGTCTGGAGGCCTATGCTCTATCCACTGAGCCAAACCAGCTAGGGCAGGGCAAACTAACCTTTACAACTTTCACATAATAGGTAGTAAGAAATTAAAATTTAATCATTCATTAACTCAATAAATAATTATTAGTAACTCTTATGTATTAGATACAGACTCAGTGTACCCTGTTTTGGGGAAGCAGCAGACATAGTCCCTGCTAGGTTTAAGAAAATAGGATTTCCCTGTAGAATAATTCAGCACATCATTAATTATCTATTCATTATTTAAGATAGGATCTTGAGCAAGAGTAGCTGAAGTTAATATTCAGAATCATCTAGTGAGCAGTTTGTTGTTTAAAAATTTATCCTTTATAGATTAAAAGCATAAGTCTTTGAATAGAAGGTTATGTCTCTATAATTGTAGTACCTTAATACTATAAAATTAGTCGATCTTAGAGTATCTAAAAAATAGTATTTAAAGACCACCCAGGGCAGTGGTTGGCAAACTGCAGCTCGCCAGCCACATGCAGTTCTTGAGTTTTTAGCAAAGGCCAGTTTAACCCTAATTAAGTTAATAACAATATATCTACCTATATAGTTTAAGTTTTAAAAAAATGGCTCTCAAAAGAAATTTCAGTGTTGCACTGTTGACATTTGGCTCTGTTGACTAATGAGTTTACCGGCCACTGATCTAGGGAGGCAGGAGAGCATAGCAGCAGAGTCTCTGATATCTTTCTGGCTCAAATCCCAGCTTTCCAATGCAAATCTTAAGTATTTGGATTTATTGAGGGGGTTGCTTTAAGATAGGATTGAGACTAATCTTGTTTAGAATTTTGCAAAGACATTTCCAAAATTAGCTTTTTGATGTTTTTATTACTTATTTTTGAGGAATAACCCTAGTTCTGCATCTGATCAGCATACAGAACCTTTTACTGGAAAGACCACCGAAGTGGTAATACTTGAGGGAAAGGAAATCCTTTCTTGAGAAATACAAACCAGAGTTAGTCTGATTCCTCTTTGCTCAATAAGCACTTATTGATAAAGGTGATTCTCCAATTTTTAAGTTTATTTTTAAAAATTAATAATGTGTGGTATTTTAACATTTAAATATTATTTATGAAAATTTAAAGGATTTGCTGGAGAGAAAATAATTACCAAACTTCAGAATTCCCTATAACAAGCTGTATTTTTATTTACCGTATTTTCCGGCATATAAGGCGACCCCCTAATTTTACAGTTAAAACATAGGTTTAGGCCTATATTCGCTGAATAAGACTACCCCCCCCCCCCCCACTTCAAAGAAAAGACTTACTTTGCCGTCCAGATCTGCAGGTAATTTTTGTGCAATTTTGGTCTTTTGCCCCCGATTTTCGGTTGACTTTTTTTCATTTCAAAAGTCATCTTGTACGCTGGAAAATACGTATTTATTTTTATTATTTTTTAAATTTTAAATTCTTTATTGTTTAAACTATTACATAAGTCTCCTTTTTCCCCCATTGACCACTCCCTGGCCACTCCCCCTCCCAGCACATGCCCTCACCTCCACCCCCATTCTCTCCTCCCTCCATTTGTGTTTATTGGTTATGCTCACATGCATGCAAACAAGTTCTTTGATTGATCTTTTACACATACAAACACACACACTGCCCACCTTTCCTCATAGATTGGACAGTCTGTTCGATGTTTCTATGACTTTGGTTCTATTTTACTTATTTATATTCTGCTTCTTTCTGAAAAGAATTTGGTATAGTCCACACAAACACAAAAACACTTGCTAATAAATTGATAATGACACACCAAAGTATTAAAGTTTTTTAAAGTAGTAACAAGTAAAAATGTGTGTATGAAAGTTAGTTTCTTAATATTATTAGAGAAAATTAGCATGTGAGGAAAAAGTCCAGGTGAAAAAAAACACTTGTATGATTGGATAGTTTATCTGAAAAACAGTTTTCAAAATTTTTCAGGAACTAATTCTATAGAAATTAATGAGATTATTTAATCTTTATTAACAGGAAAAAAATGGCATTGAAACAGATTTCCAGCAACAAATGCTTTGGGGGATTGCAGAAAGTTTTTGAACATGACAGGTAACCACTAAGAAGATACACTTTTGTATGTCTCTCATTCTTCTTCCATCCATTTGATTCTTTAAGCCCATGAAAGGTTATTGTTGCATAAGTTACTGTTCACATGGACAAAATATGTTTGGTTTTTCAATGACAATTATCTAGCCTTGATAGTAGTGATTTTAATAAAATATTACTGATAAAGAACAAATTAAGGATGTGGTACATTTCAGTGTCCATGAGTGAACATATAATTTAATATTTTTAGAATAACTTTTTCATGAAATTTTATACATCATTTTAGAATAGAAACAGTTTTTGTTTTAATAATATTAGTGCTACATTGAGCATATTAAAATTATTTTTAAAATTTATTCTGGCCAAAATGACTGTGTTTTTGTGCACAGAATAGGCCAGGTTGGTTGATAAATCACTAACCTAAGTTAGCCTCATTCTTTAAGGGACAAGGTTCATTGCTTGACATTGGTGGAATGAATTACTTTGGGCATTAAATCATTTATTTTATGTTTCTGTCTTGACTGACGAGGATCATTGATTTTGTGTGTGTGTGTGTGTGACTATTAAAATTGCAGTGTTGAACTGAACTGCAAAATGAAATTTGCTATCTACTTGCCACCAAAGGCAGAAACTGGAAAATGCCCTGCTCTGTATTGGCTGTCTGGTAAGTATTAAGTATTTGAGTTTTAAAATGGAATTTATTTTTCTTTTTCACTGGCTCATTTATTTGTACTCATTTATCTTGACTTACTAGTTTGCTTTCTGAGCCATTTATATAAGGCTTTAAGAAACTGTCATAGTTTACTCTTACTTTATCCTGAGAATAATTTCATGCCAACTGAATTACATTTATTTCACTTCTATTTTAATTTTACCTATTAAAAATTCTAGGGAGAGGAAAACGAAAAATAGTAGGACACGGTTTTCTCCAGGCAATATCTGTCCCAGGGAAGATTTGATACAATATTAAGGCTCAGTAGTCAGCACTTTTTTTACTAGAAATCATGTAATCATAAAATAGCATGACTAAAAATCATAGCTAGAAATCTATGGATTTCATACAGTAATGTTTTATACACATATCACCACCCCCACAAAAATAGTAAAGCTATTTTACTAAATACAAAATCACATTTAAATATTACTTTTTTAAATTAAATGTATTGAGGTGACATCCTATATAATAAAGATGTAATATGCAAATGGTTGTTATTCCGTAAAGTATAACTACCGACCATGTAAAGGACCGGATCACGCATCAGCAGGAAGGTGGGGAAGTGAGCTACAAGAGCTATATAGGAGGGGGCGGGGCAGCAAGCCATTGGGGGCGTGCAGAGGGAGCTACAGGAGGGCAGAGCAGTGGGCAGAGAGCTCCTGGAGGGCAGCTGGAACTATGGTGCATGGATTCGTTCGCAGGGCTACTAGTTGCTTAATAGAATTATGTAGGCTTCAAGTGTATGTCATCTCTATATTTATTACATTGTGTGTCCACCCGAATGTATGTCACCTTCTTTTTCAGTTAAACCAAGTAATTTAACAGAATGTAAAGTTCTGGACTCAATAGCAAGAGCTGAGAAAAGTTACTTACCTAGTTTATACCTACCTACCCATGTATTTCTTGTAGAGATTTTACCACTCACATAGAATAATATTAAGGTTAAACCAAGACACACTAATTTGGAACTACAGACAAGTAATTTCTTATCCTGTTGTCTGGAATATTTTAATTGGACTCCATGGACCTTTTCTGGCAATAGTTTGGAAAAATTACAAATAATAGTAATGCTTCTTAATCAGGTGAATATTAAAGACTGTAAAATGGATATTTGAGAGAGTAAGGTTTTGCCATCAGTAGTTTTGACCTCTGTGCTAACTTTTCTTTTACAAGATGTTGGCACTTCATCTATGGAGGCAAACATTACAAGGAGAGATGCAGAAACCAAATCATGGCAAGAGTGCTATCTTTGCTTCCTTGAGATTTCTTCTTATAACTTAATAAATCCTCTCTTATGTATGGTTTCATCAAGGATAACCCTAAATACCAATCTGTAAAAATTAGAATGAATATTTTAAATGGCAAAAATTAAGTGCATATCTGATTTTAACTCAACAGCCCATTACTATGATAGAAAAAAAGCAAACGGTTTTGCCAGAAGAATATTGGGTATTTCCAAAAGTAGTAATAACAAAACTACATGTTTAATTGTTTTAGAAACATAGCTAAAGATGATCTTCAAATCATGTAAGCTATTTTATAGGCCCAGTGAAGTTATAACATCTTAGATCTCTTAACAGGGTGAACAAGTTTTCTAATTCATGGTCCAGAGCTGTATTTAGTCCTTTCTCCTGTTATTTTTGCTTTTTGTTTCTGATAAGTTCAACTAAAGTCAGATCTCTGGGTGAAAAGAGTAATAATCCATATCAGAAGTATCAGGTGTTGTATAATAGGTACTATATTAATAAGATCCTAAATTCCTAACCAAGATTTAAATCCATTAAGACAAAACATTGAGCTTCATGAGTATAAAAAACAGAATTTTTTTATTTACATGAAATTGGATAGTTTCCTTAATGAGATGCTAAAGAACAGATATACCTTGGAAATTAAGGCTTGATTTTCTGAAATAAGGTAAGATTAACTAGTATACTTGAGAAATTCTAGTGCAATTCTAGAAGGTGGTCTGGATTCATTGTATTGCATCTGACCATCAAAACAGTCTTTCATTGGATTCGTCAAAAATGGGCCTTCCTTCCCCTGGCTGCCAGCACTGCCTTTACTCTGGATTGGAGCTGCCTTTTTGCCTTTGCTCCAGCCTGGAGCCACCTTTTTGCCTTCCCACACTGCCTAGAGGCCTGGAGTGGCTGGGGTGGTGTGGAATGCCTGCATTGTCACCATGACGACAATGCAGGTGTTCCTCCCCGCCCCTGGCCGTTTGGCACCTGTGTATGTAAATTAATTTGCCATCTTCATTGGGTTAATTTGCATGATGGACATCGTGAAGGTGCAGTCAATTTGCATCTTTCTCTTTTATTAGTGTAGATACCAAAGAGAATTGAAAACATGTCCATACAAAAACTTGCACACAGATGTTCATGCATTATATTATACACTAGAGGCCTGTTGCATGGATTTGTGCACTGGTGGGGTCCCTCGGTCTGGCCTGCACCCTCTCGCAATCTGGGGGATGTCAGACTGCTGGTTTCGGCTCAATCCCTGCAGGCTGCAGCTCCACTCGCCAGCTGTGAGCTTGGTGTCTGGCGCCCATCAGATAAGCAGCACTCGTGCTGTGGGAGCACACTGACCAGCAGAGGGCAGCTCCTGCATTGAGCGTCTGCCTCCTGGTGGTCAGTGTGTGTCATAGTGACCAGTTTACTGGTCATTCGGTCACCTAGGCTTTTATATATATAGATTATAATAGCAAAAAAGTAGTTCATCAATTGTTGAAATTATAAATAAAATGTGGTCTATCCATTATTCAAAAACAAAACGTAATAAAGTCCTCATATATGCTACATATACAGTGGATGAACTTTGAGAACTTTTTAAAAACATATTTATTGAGACTTCCTGGAAGATGGCGGCCAGGTAAACACTTGTACGGGCTGCCTCCCACAACCATATCAGTGCTGCAATGGGGGATCTTACCTGAGACCTAAAAGGACCACAACTGTGGGGCCCCGACTGGCGCGGACACGCGGATTCCACAGAAAGGTTGGATTTTGCCAGGGATAACACGGGGTGTCTGTGTCCCAACAGCAAAAGCGAAAGCGGCAGCTGCGGCAGCCACAGAAGCGGTGGCCGCTGGGGCGGCAGAGACAAAAGTACGCGCTGGGACCCCGGAAATCTGCGTCCACAGAAGCCCCCCACTGTTGGGTCTGGTGTGATTCAAGAGAGTGGATGGGGGTCCCCAAGGTTGCTACTAGTGGGGTTCTCTAGGGAGCAACCCATTCTGATCCGACAGGGTGGGAGAACATAGGAGTTGGAAAGCAGTCTGTTTGTAAGTGAGCGCAGACTCACCCATCGCGCACCTAGGCTGGTTCCCCTGCAACACTTTGCTTCTGATTACAAAGGAGAGATCACCCAGATTGGCTGACCCTAAGAGACAGCAGGGGGAAACTGCTTTTCTGGAAACTGAGAAGCAGAGCAGGGAGAAATCATCCAAGATTCCGCTCTGAAAAAAAAAATAAACAAACAAACAAAAAAAAAAACAGTATTGAGTGCTACAGGAAAAGAAGGCTAGAGCAGCCAAAAAGACAGGACATCAATCCACATACACTGCCACCTAGGGTCTGGAGTACAAACTGACTGTGTTTATTATTAGTTTTATTTTATCAAAAACCAAGAAACTAAGGAAATGCCACTGAGGTGCAGCAGAACGCAGGGAACTGCAATACGGTGTGGACTGAGAAACGGGCATGTCAAATAGAATAACAGAAGTTATTGTTACAAAATACTACGAACAACTCTAATCCAACAAGCTGAACAACCTGGAGGAAATGGACATATTCCTAGAGAAATACAATCTTCCAAAAGTTAATCAGGAAGAATCTATAAATCTCAATAGAACAGTAACTTGGGAAGAAATTGAAAGAGTCATCAAAAAGCTTCCAGCAAACAAAAGCCCACGGCCAGATGGCTTCACAGGAGAGTTTTACCAAACATTCAAGGAAGAACTAAAACCTATCCTCAGACTATTCCAAAAAATCCAAGAGGAAGGAACACTGCCAAACTCCTTCTATGAAGCCAGCATCACCCTAATACCAAAACCAGATAAAGACAACTCAATGAAAGAGAATTACAGGCCAATATCCCTCATGAACATAGATGCCAAAATCCTCAACAAAATTCTAGCAAATCGGCTCCAGCAGAGCATCACAAAGATCATACACCACGACCAAGTAGGTTTTATTCCAGGAATGCAAGGATGGTACAATATCTGCAATCAATAAACGTGATACATCACATAAACAAATTGATAGATAAAAATCATATGGTCATATCAATTGATGCAGAAAAAGCATTTGATAAAATCTAACACCCTTTCCTGATAAAAACTCTAAACAAGGTGGGAGTACAAGGATCATACCTCAACATAATAAAAGGTATATATGAGAAACCCACAGACAACATCATACTCAATGGGCAAAAACTAAAACCATTCCTTCTAAGAACAGGAACAAGACAGGGTTGCTGTACTTCTCACTGGAAGTATTAGCCATTGCAATTAGACAAGAAGAGGATATAAAAGGCATTCCAATTGGAAAAGAAGTAAAGTTACCCTTATTTGCAGATGACAGGATATTGTACATAAGAAACCCAAAAGACTCCATTAAAAAACTAATAAACTTAATAAATGAATTTGGCAATGTAGCAGGATACAAAATTAACGCCAAGAAATCTATGGCATTTCTATACACCATAAGTGAACTTGCAGAAACAGAGACTAAAAAGGCAATCCCATTTACTATCGCACCAAAAAAATTAAGATACCTTGGAATAAACTTAACTAAGGAGGTAAAAGACCCATACATGGAAAACTACACGACACTGAAAAAAGAGATAGAGGAAGATCTAAAAAGATGGAAGAACATACCATGTTCATGGATTGGTAGAATCAACATTATCAAAATGTCCATACTTCCCAAAGCAATCTATAGGTTCAATGCACTCCCAATTAAAATACCAACGGCATATTTCACTGACCTAGAAAAAACTCTTCAAAAGTTCATTTGGAACAACAAAAGACCCCGAATAGCCACAGCAATCCTGAGAAAGAAGAGTAAAGTAGAAGGGATCTGAATACCAGATTTCAAGCTGTATTACAAAGCCACTGTTCTCAAAACAGCCTGGTACTGGCACAAGAACAGACATATAGATCAATGGAATTGAATGGAGAACCCAGATATCAACCCAAATCACTATGCTCAGTTAATATTTGACAAAGGAGGCACAAACATACAATGGAGTCAAGACAGTCTCTTCAATAAATGGTGTTGGGAAAATTGAACAGACACATGCAAAAGAATGAAACTGGATCACCAACTAACACTATACACAAAAATAAACTCAAAATGGATACAGGACTTAAACATAAGACAGGAAACCATGAAAATTAGAGGCATCCACGGGCAGTAAAATCTCAGACATATGCCAAAAGAACTTCTTCACTGATACTTCCCCTAGGGCAATGGAAGCTAAAGAGAAAATAAACAAATAGGACTACATCAAAATAAAAAGCCTTTTGTACAGCAAAGGAAACCATCAACAAAACAACAAGAAAGTCCTCCGTTTGGGAGAACATATTTGCAAATGTTACCACTAATAAAGGTTTAATCTCCAACATCTACAGACAGCTTATACAACTTAATAAAAGAAAGATAAATGATCCAATTAAAAAATGGGCAATGGATCTAAATAGAATCTTCTCAAAGGAAGACAGAAGGAAGGCCAAGAGGCACATGAAAACATGCTCAAAATCACTAATTATCCGAGAAATGCAAATCAAAACAACAATGCGGTACCATCTCACACTGTCAGAATGGCCAACATCAACAAATCAACAAACGACAAGTGTTGGAGAGGTTGCGGAGAAAAAGGAACCCTCTTGCACTACTGGTGGGAATGTAGACTGGTGCAACCACTGTGGAGAACAGTATGGAGCTTCCTCAAAAAACTGAAAATGGAACTCCCATTTGACACAGTAATCCCACTCCTAGGAATATATCCCAAGAAGCTAGAAACATCAATCAGAAAGGATATATGCACTTCTATGTTCATAGCAGCACAATTTACAATAGTTAGGATTTGGAAACAGCCTAGGTGCCCATCAGCAGAGGATTGGATCCAAAAACTATGGTACATTTACACAATGGAATATTATGCTGCCATAAAAAAGAAAAAATTCTCATAGTTTGCAGCAACCTGGATGGAATTGGAGAACACCATGCTGAGTGAAACACGCCAGTGAATGAAAGAGACACCACATGACCTCACTTATTTATGGATGATAAAGAACATTATAAACTGAAGAACCAAAAGATAGATATAGAGACAATAAAGCAACAAGTAGACTGTCAAACTACAGTGGGGAGGTTGGGGAGATCTGGGGGAGATAAGAGATCAACCGAAGGACTTGTATACATGCATATAAGTACAACCAATGGACATAAAACTCTCGGGAGAGAGGGTATGTACGGGAGGGATGGGTCATTGGTATATGTACAAAAATAATAATTTAATAAAAATAAATAAATAAAAACATTGATTTCAGAGAGGAAGGGAGAGGGAGAGAGATAGAAACATCAATGATGAGAATCATTGATTGGCTGCATCCTGCATACCCCCTACTGGGCATTGAGCCCACAACCCAGGCATGTGCCTTTGACTGGAATCGAATTTGGGACTCTTCAGTTTGCAGGTCAAGGCTCTATTGAGCCAAACTGGCTAGGGCAAATCCTTAAAATAGAAAGTAGTATGTAGTTACCTGGGGCTAAGGTTGGAAGAAATAGGAGTGACTAATGGGTATGGGATTTCTTTCAGGGGTGATGAAATATCCTACAAGTAGATAATCGTGATGGTTGCATAATTATAAATATACTAACAATCATTGAGGTAGTACATTTTAAATGGGTGAATTGTATGGCATCCAAATTGTACCTCGATAAAGTTGTTGCAAAAACGAACAAACAAAAAACCCCGTCTCTTCATATAAAATAAGTGCAGTTTACCAAGTAGATATTAAGTAGTAATCATCTCCAGACTCCTGAGAGTAATACTATTAACATGAATATCTTCATTTCTATTAAATCTACAATTCAGTCCCTGCTGCTTTAATAGATGGACTTGTGTTCTAATTAGAAAAACATTTTTTTTTCTCTCTGATCTCTAAACAGATTTACATTTCCCTAGTGCAAGGTACTATGCATTGTGTACCAGACACAATTCAAAACTCTTAGCATGTTAACACATTTAATCCTCACATTATGAAGTAAAAATAGACAATATTATGCCCATTTTTCTTTCTTTTTTTTGGTTACTCCTCACTTGAGGATATTTTTCCATTGGTTTTTAGAGAGAGTGGAAGGGAGAGGGAGAGACAGAGAGAAACATCTATGTGAGAGAGACACATCGATCGGTTGCCTCCTGCACGCTCTCCGACCAGGGCCAGGAAACCTGCAACCAAGGTGTGTGCCCTTAACTAGAATTGAACTCAAGACCCTACAGTCCTCGGACCAATGCTCTGTCCCCTGAGCCAAACCAACTAGGGCTTATGCCCATTTTTTAAATAAAAAAAACTGATGCTCTGAATATTTGAGTTCCTTTCCTGATTTTGTTTAATAATAAGTGGTTGTGTGACATGAGGAACACAGATCCTTTCTGCAATCCAAAACCCATGTTTTCTTCACTAGTATCCTTCCTCTTTTGAGTACATTTATGTTCAGGTCAGCAAAATTGTTGACCCTTTTATCTGTATTTGGAGCAATTCTTCATGATATGGCTTTCATATCTCTGGAAGATGTGCTAAAAGGGAACATGGTAGACAGAAAGGATCTTGTTCTCTTGCCATGACTAGTGAAAGTTTGTATATCCTGATAATTTATTTAACCATAAAGTTCCATAACACTTTATCCAATGATACTTGTAACTTTTTATGACCTTCACAGGACAGCTATGGGAGCATTTAACATAAGACAAATCTTAGAGTAATATTGTTATGAATTTTATGAAAAGGGTCTTCAGCATCTTTTTTATAATTATTTCTAAAAAATTATTAATTTAGCAAATCTTGATTAGGCAATCAATCCATAAGTCTGTGCTGCTATTAGGGGATAAATAGAAACTATAAAAGTGTTCTGTAGTTACTTATGCATCATGCATATCAGTAAGCTTTGACAGTGCTAATTACCAGATATAGTGGGATATTTATCATTGGCTACTGGAAAAGGGCTATTAGGTTACGTGCTTTTAGACTCAGGCATCTATTGCCAGTTCATTCTTGGCCATTCTCACATCTTGGCCAGTCTTACCAGACTCTCATAGTAAGAAAAGTAAATCATCTCTTCTATCATATTACTGAAAAGTTTAGAGGTAGGAAAAATAGAAGAAACAATTGTAAGAATAGGCTTAAACTCAATTTAAGGAAGTTATGTGGTAGCCATTACCCTCTTCTTAGTACATTGAGGAATACAGAGATGATTAGGCTGAATTTTGTTGCTGTGAACTACTTGTCTATAAAAATATTAAGTTATTTGTATTATCATTACCATAGTATTTTCTCACTGTGAATATTTATGTTTTAATGAGGAAATAGTAACATTTCATTAGCATGTTTGAAAACATTGCACTGGGGCTATTATAACACTGGTTCTATGCGCCATATTGCTATTCTACAGCTTGAAAATTTCTGAATTTCCAAATGCATCTGACCCTAATGATTTTAGTGATTGAAGCTTTAATGAGTGACTTTCAAAGGACAGCTAAGGGAGCACTTAACTCTAATTCAGGTCTTAGATTAATACTGTTATAAATTTTATGAGAAGGGGAACTTTAAGCTTCTTCTTTAGAGTTATTTCTTTTAAAAAAAGCATTTTGATAATATCTAGTGAGATTTTTTTCTATGTTATAAAAATATTTAAGCTTCTAAATCACATGCAGTATAGCATGAGGTAACAGTATTTTTGATCTTCAGGTTTAACTTGCACAGAACAGAATTTTATATCAAAATCTGGTTATCATCAGGCTGCCTCAGAACATGGCCTTGTTGTCATTGCTCCAGATACCAGCCCTCGTAAGTGTTCTTGTTCCCAAGTACTTTGTAAATAATATAAATATCTAAGACTAAGTTATAAGTGGGATATTATATACACTATAAAATTAATACCATATTTTTGCTATATCTCTATTAATCTTTCAAATGACTCCATGACTCTAAAATACCATGTTATATACATTTTGTATTATATAGGTAAACTGTCTTATCATATGATAATTATGTCTTTTTTCATCTCTGTTAGTCATCAGATCATCATACAGTTTAAAAAGGATTAGTTTTAATATAAATGTCTAAAATGTTTACATTAGAGAATATTAAACATTGTGCAGCTTAATCCATCAGATAGTTAAAACTTCTTTTGTGCGCCCGGGAAGTCTCAGGAAATGGAATTTAAAGGCCAGCTGAAACTTTGGAAGTTAAATGGCTGACTTTGGGAAGTAGTGCATTTTCTTTAACAGGCTATATTACACAAAAGCAAGGCATGTCTCACTAGAAATGTAATAAATTTAATTCAACATAGCATCAAAAATATAAAATGCCTAGCCATAAACTTTAAAACTATGAAGATTTATTTATTAAATGATGAAATTTGCTAAAGATCATAAATTAAAACCTAAATAATTGAAAAATTGTTATGTTTCTAGAAGGGTAGTCTGAATATTACAACGAGGTGATTTCCTTCGAGTTACTCTACCTGTTACTCTAATTCTATTCAAAATTTTAATGGTTCGCTTTTTAGCTACATGTAAATATATAAAATAAATCCTAATAAATTGAAAGGAATACAAGAAAATCCCAATGAGGCATGGGTAAATAGGGGAAACATGAGGAATGATTCCAAAATACATAAGACACTCTGAGTTCATGATAATAAGTTGAACGAGGCATTTGTCTCCTGTCACTTCTAAGTGATAAAGAGAATTATAGGAAGTGTTGGTTAAGGGCGAGGGTCATCAGAGAAGGAATCTCAGCACATTTTTGAAATAAAAAGAAAGGTTGTGAGCCCTTTGACAGGTAAAACTGAGTGAGGAAGTATAGGTGGGGAACTTCACCATCAATGGCAGGTGCTTTATGTTGGCGGTGAATACCTCGCCTGGAAGGGCATTCTTTCTCTCACCTCATTTGCTAGAACGTGGCCTCACTCAAGAGGGTCAGAAAGTATGTGCCCCAAAAGGCAAAGAAGAGGCTAACAGCTTTAAAGCAAATGAATGTTCAGATTCATTTAAAAGTTTGCAGTTAAACATGGACCATTACTACAGAGTAGATGAAACCACAAGTTTTCCTTGATAGGTGGCTGCAATATTAAAGGAGAAGATGAGAGCTGGGACTTTGGCACTGGTGCTGGGTTTTACGTGGATGCCACTGAACATCCTTGGAAAACTAACTACAGAATGTATTCTTATGTAACGGAGGAGGTAATTTTATTTATATTGTAATTATTAATCCATGACTGCCAAAACACTTGATTTTGGACACAAAATCCTTCTAGTCCTGAGAATTTTAAACTATGATATGGTATGGTTGAATCTACTTTCTACAAATTTATTATCTTGTGAAAGTTCCAAGATTTACTGGTATTATCATTCTATTTACTGCCATTTAAGTTAACACTAAATACTATTTTAGAGAGTTTAATAATTATATTGGTATCTATATGTACTGTCCAGGTTACACAAAGAAAACAGTTTATGAAAAAATTTTTTATTTCTCTAGCAACTGGTTCATTCAGACATTTTATAGTAATTAATCAAGGCTTAGTTAGAAAGGATAAGTAGTAAAATATTACTTTTATTAATAATATTCATGTTTAGATTATGCATTTTTAAAAATTTTATATGATTTTAATTGTTAATATATGCTATGTTATAAAACTCAGAAACAATAACATGGAAGTCACCCATTATCCTATCACTCCAAATAATGGCTGTTTTGGTATATTCCACATTTTGATATGATTAGTTTTTCTATAGTTGTAAAATACTTATTTTTTTAATTGAAAAAAAATAAATATTTTTCAATATTTATTTATAACATACTTTTAATAATTGCTGTCATATGCCATAATTTACTATGTCCTAATGTAGGCTATATAAGGTGACATCATAAATATTTTTTCGTTGATTGTCTTTTTGTATAATTCTTTTCCCTTAAGGACTTTTCCTCTAAGAATAGATTCCAAGCAATAGAATTACTAGGTAAAAAGTTTAGGACATTTTAAAGGTCCTATATGCATCTTCTTAAAGTTGGTTTCTGAGAAAGATATGCCATATATTTCTCCAGTGATATATTAATTACCATTGTGTACCTGAGATTAAAAAAAACAACTTTAATAGTTCATACCATTGTAAGACTGTGATTTAGCACTATTGATTGTATAATTATTTTATATAGCTGAAAAAGTTTGAACTTTCTCATATCTCTTGTCACACTATTAAATCTTCTTTAGCTTCCTCAACTCATAAATGCCAATTTTCCAGTGGACCCCCAAAGGATGTCTATTTTTGGCCACTCCATGGGAGGCCATGGAGCTTTGATTTGTGCTTTAAAGAATCCTGGAAAATACAAAGTAAGGTTACTTAAGCTTCTAGTGACAAATATGTCTTTTGGATAATATAATATTAAGAACTTTCAAAGATTGAAGTTAGGATATTATTATAGTACTGGGACTATTCTAGAAGTGTTGGGAATTTCAGGAGGTTGTAGGGGAGGAGTATTAATTTTGACCACACAATGTATGCTACATATTCAGAAGCATAAGAATTTAATCTCAGTGGTTTCTTGTGGGTTTACTAGAAGTATTAAAAAATTGTATCATTTTATTGCTTCAATTCAAACTATAGTTTTCTAGGCATTTTCTTTTCTAAAGGTTATTCTTGATTAATAGTATATCATGTACTTACATTTTTATCAAGAATATTTTTGTGAAGTTTGATTTAGGTTTGTGGAGAGAGAATTTATTCATGATTTGTAAAAATGTACAAATTCTCAATTCTTAATGCCTCTGATGAAAATTGGAATGCAGCTTGATTGAAAACTATTACTCTCAGCCTTCCTATTTATTTATTTTAAGCTTTACTTTTTTCTTTTAATATATTTTATTGATTTTTTTACAGAGAGGAAGGGAGAGGGATAGAGAGTTAGAAACATCAATGAAAAAGAAACATTGATTAGCTACCTCCTGCACACTCCCTTCTGGTATGTGCCCTCAACCAAGGTATTATACATGCCCTTAACCGGAATCGAACCTGGGAACCTCGTGTTCACAGGCCAGCACTCTATCCACTGAGCCAAACCGGTTAGAGCAAGCTTTACTTTTTGTTGTTTGTTTAAGCCAAATTGGAATAACCACTGTATGTAGAATGCTGTACTGTGCATCACAGCATACCGTAAAATGGAAAAAGGAAATCTTGAAGCAATGATTATCTTAAGATTGCTTCTATCTTTAGAATTACAAGACTATCAGAGACCTCAAGATATATTTAATCCATTTCTTTCCCTTAGGAAGAACTTCTTAATCATTTGTGTGTGCCACCGAGAAATGAAAATATTTCTCATAGCAGTTTCTTGCTTTGTTACCAAATATATTTCTTTTTTTTTCCCCCAAAAAAATATATTGATTTTTTTATAGAGAAGAAGGGAGAGGGATAGAGAGTTAGAAACATCGATGAGAGAGAAGCATCGATCAGCTGCCTTCTGCACACCCCCTATTGAGGATGTGCTTACAATCAAGGTACATGCCCTTGACCGGAATCGAACCTGGGACCCTTGAGTCCACAAGCCGATGCTCTATCCACTGAGCCATACAGGTTAGGGCTCAAATATTTTCCTTTTGGTAATCTTTATAAAATTGAATTAATTCATGTCATGATAGAAAAACAAGGGTTTTATTTTCCTTTGTGCATAAAGCAATGAAATTTATTGTGTTTGAAGGAGAAAATCAAATTTGGTTGAATGTTTTGTCCTTTAAAAAAGCTAGTAGACATGGATAAACATAACATTGACAAACACTCTGAAACTCAGTGGTTCCATCTTTGCATTTTTATCCAGTGACAAACAATAGTGCACAAAATTATATTGTATTAAAAATTCTGCCATATTTAATGGTATTGTTCAGGGCTTTTTTGGCACTGTTTAAGAGAAATAATGTGTCTCACATTTAATAATGTGTTCAGAAACATTTAATAATGTGTTCAGAAGCATAATCTGTTCCATATTACTACACATTAATTTTAAGCAAGAAAAGGAGTAGAATCTCAATATAAACTTCCATTGTGCATTATTTAATTGAAAATGTAATGTATTACTTTGTATTATTTTAGCAACTGTAGTTTATTAACTCTCTTAATAGAACACACAAAAGATATATTATGGAGAGATCTTACAATCTAAACTCATAATATAGCAAAATGAAAATTGTTCATAGGAGTTAAGCAAATCAGAGTTATAAGCAAATTGCAAGTAAGTTTTGAGTTTCTAAGCAAGTTTCAAATATCTGTTCATATTTGATTTAGCAACATATAACTTGTTTTCAAATTTATTTGTTTCTAAAGTCTGTGTCAGCATTTGCTCCAATTTGCAATCCAGTGCTTTGTCCTTGGGGCAAAAAAGCCTTCAGTGGATATTTGGGAACAGATCAAAGTAAATGGAAGGTAGGTACCAGATGGTTATCTCAATACTCATTCTGAAGTTTTCAATTAAAAAAAAAAAAAAAAAGCTGTACGTAGGTATTGTGTAATGTACATTTATGAGAATACTAGTGGCCCAGTACACAAAATTCTTGCACATTAAAAGGGAATTAATTAGAGGAAATATTTTAATATTGCTATTTTCCCTTTGTAATAAAAGTGACAGAGATTAAAGAAAATTAGTAAAATGTATATGAAAATCTTTCTCTTGTCAGAGTCTGGGGCATGCCATGGGACCTTGAGTCAAGTCCCTGCCCACCACCTGCTCGCACTTCAAACACACAGAAGACCCAGCGCCGCCAACCCCACCCCTATAAAGCCCCGCCAGGCGGGGTGTGCAGCCTTTTGTCCTCCAGCCAGCACTAGGGAGAGGGGACACAGCCTGAGGTCCCCTGTTGAGCCCCACTGGGCATGGGGTGGGGCCTGAGGTCCCCGGCAAGTCTCACTGGGCTGGAAGCATGGCCTGAGGTCCCTTGCCCCAGCCAGGTGCTATGCAGCCTCAGGTTCCTGCTGTTCAGTTATGACATTAAGGCATCCCAGCTAATTTGCATATTCCTCTATTATATAGATAGATTCCTAGCAGCAAGCTTGCTTTTTCAAACATAGGAGCAGATACTTCAATATGAAAATAAAAATAGTTCTTTCTCCTGAGACTCATTTTAACTCTTGTGGAGAAATGAGCCATTTGCAGACTCCACCCAGACTTAGAATATTTTACAGATGAACTCATCATGTGCCTATTAAGTAGAAAATACTTGAGTGCTTTCAAGGTCATTTACACATGGATCCCTGTTTTAAGATTGATCTTTGAAAGTCTAATAAACTGGAGAGTTTAGAATAAAAAAGGCTATACTCTATAGAATGCTTGAGATACAGAATTCTTATCACTGGTATTTGTCTGCTTCAGAGTAGGGAAGAGCCTATCATTGGGAAAGAATTTTGAAAACTTTATAAATAAAAACCAGACAAGCCAGCTTTTAAGTCAGCTTAAAAGTGTGATTCCAATGTAATCAGCCTTAGAGTTTAAATGGCTTTAAATTTATATTTGGTTCTAGTGTGGTATATTCTAAAAATAAATATTTCTGGGCACTTTTAGATTTGTTTTTAAATATTTTTCTTTTCATAGGATTATGATGCTACTCATCTTGTGAAGTCCTATCCAGGTTCTCAGCTTGACATACTAATTGATCAAGGAAAAGACGACCAGTTCCTTTCAGATGGACAGTTGCTTCCTGATAACTTCCTCGCTGCCTGTGCAGAAAAGAAAACCCCTGTTGTTTTTAGATTACAGGAGGCAAGTATTAGGAAATCTTAGCTTGTTCTAAATAAGTATTAAAAAGCAGGATTCCAAGTACTTTTAAATTTTTATTTTATAATTTGAAATGCTACCTGTAGTAAGATATTTTTTAATTGTAATAAGATACTTAAAACCTTTATATTAAGTTAGTGATATATAAGACAAAAATTCATAGAAATAAGAAAGCTTTTGGAAGTGAAAAGTATGTATAGTTTTCTTTTCCACTGTAAAAACAGTAAATAACGGGAAGCTTAAATACTTGCATGGTACTTAATCATCCACATTACTGAATATATCTTACTTTATACATGCAGGACAAGCTTCCACCTTATTTTATGTACACTTCTAAGCCCCAGATGCTTTATATTGTTTGTCTGACACACACATGTGTATTTTATATTGTGCTACTTAGTATTTCTAGTTGTTTAAGAATTACTAGGTTTCAGTTTGTTTTCAAGTTTCCTTGATTAAAATACTTTTGACTATTTACTACTCACCTAACTCTATGTTAATCCTACCAGACCTGAGGCCCTGAACCTAACTGTCTCCTATACTTGAGCTCCTGAGCATTAAAGAGAGAAAATCAACATGATATAGAAAAATGTTAGTTACATGCAAACAAGTGGTTAGAATAAGATGGAACTTGGAGACATTGTATATTTATTTTCATGAAAAATCTTTTTTCATCCCTTTACTTTTAGTCTCGGTGTGTCTTTTGATCTAAAGTGAGTCTCTTGTAGATAGCATATGCAAGGGTCTTGTTTTCTTATTCATTTAACAACTGTATATCTTTTGATTGAAGCATTTAATCAATTTGAATTTCAAGTAATTGTTGATATATAGTTATTGCCATTTTATTCATATTTTGTATCATTTTTTTTCTTCTTAAAGAATACCCTTTAGCATTTTATGTAATACTAAGTTTGGTGTTGATGAACTCCATTAGCAATTTCTTGTCTAGGAAGCTCTTCATCTGTCTTTCAATTCTAAATGATAGTCTTGTTGGGTACAGTAATCTTGATTATAAGTCCTTGTGGGTTTTTTTTTTCATCACTGTGAATATTTCGTGACAATCTTTCTGGTCTACACAGTTTCTGTTGAGAAATCAGCTGAGTCTCATGGGGGCTTCCTTGTGGGTAACTAACTGCCTTTCTCTTGCTGCTTTTAAGAATCTCTCTTTGTCTTTAACCTTTAGCATTTTAATTATGATGTGTTTTTATGTGGGCTTCTTTGGGTTCATTTTGTATGGGATTCTCTATGTTTCCTGGTCTGTATGTCTATTTCATTCACTAGGTTAGAAAGTTTTCTGTCATTCTTTTTTCAAATATGTTTTCAATTATTTGCTGTCTCTCCTTTTTCCAGCATCCCATGATGCAAATATTAAGCTTGATACTATCCCAGAGGTTCCTTACATTATTCTCATTTTTATAGATTCTTTTTTTATAATATATTTTTAATGATTTCAAAGAGGAAGGTAGAAGGAGAGATAGAAACATCAATGATGAGGTCGACACTCAACCACTGAGCCACACTGGCTGGACTCGTGTTTTTTTTTGTTTGTTTGTTTTTGGTTTTTTTTGCTGTTATGATTGGATGTTTTTCTGCTACCTTATCTTCCAAATAGCTGATTTGGTCCTATGCTTTATCTAATTTACTATTGATTCCCTCTAATTTATTTCTCGTTTTATTTATTATATTCTTAATTTTGGACTTATTCTTTTTTTATGTTATATATCTCCACTTTTATGTTATCTCTTCATTAAAATTCTCACTGAGTCAACCCCATGGAATAGGACTCACTTTAACAAGACTCTTGTGTCCATCAAGTAACCCCCTTGAGAGTGTTGGGTGGTGCTCTGGTGTGATCTGAAGCCAGATGTGCTGACCCTGAGCCTCCTGGGAGATGCAGGCCACTGCCTATGTCCTGCCCAGGGCCACCCAGCATGAGCTACTGAGCGATCTGTATATAGCTACTACTTACCCTGGTCTTTGAGGTATCTGGCAGAGGCTAGGTGGGGAACCGAAAATAATTGCACTAGTGCCAGGCTTGGGGCCACTTAATTATGGTATGGGACATGCTGAGACCAGACGCTGCTTGTTTGGGGTTTGTGAACCTTTGAGAGATTTTTAGGAAAGTTCACAGCATGAGTCAAGACAGTTTTTTTTTTTATGGAAGAACCACTGGAAGCCACTTGGGTGGGTCTAAGAGTTAGGCGGGCAGAATCTCACGGAATCACCTGGTGAGGGTGGAGGGGAGAGTCGGCTACTGCTCCTGCAGGGGAGGACTCAGCAAGGGAACAGGGGCCTCTGTCGGCACTTTTGTCAGGGAGAAAGCTGCCTGTCCAGCCTTCTGAAGCCTGGTGATTTAGTTCCTCATATGTTCCTTGTGCCTTTTGAGATGCTGACCTAGAGCTGTATCTCAGAGCAAGTGAGTCTGAGTAGTTCATGCATGCCTTTCAACAGGAATGCCCTGGGTTCCAACAGCCTCTGTCTTACTCATCCATAAGCCCCACTGGTTTTTCAGCCAGAAGTTATGGGGAGTTCTCTTCTGGCACCGAAACCCTGCACTCTGGCCAGGCCCCCTCACTCTGCAGGGGAGCTTCAGAGATATCCCTCCTGATTTTTATCTGCTACACGGGGGTGTGAGACCTGCCTATTCCTTGTCTTCCCCACTAACTAGTCTTGAGTACAGTAAATCCTTAGTTATAGGACTTTTCTCCAGCTAGGCTTCAGGCAGTTCTCAATGATGGTTGCTCTGTAGTCTAGTTGTAATTTTTATGTGGTTATGGAAAGATTACCTATATGTCAACTTGACTGGAAGCCAAGTTTGAGGAAGGATTGCCTCCATTTAACCTATAGCAATGGTTTGTTGTTGTTGTTTTTAAATATATTTTATTGATTTTTACAGAGAGGAAGGGAGAAAGACAGAGAGCTAGAAATGTCAATGAGAGAGAAACATCGACCAGCTGCCTCTTGCACACCCCCTACCGGGGATGTGCTCGCAACCAAGGTACATGCCCCTCACCTGAATCGAACCCGGGACCTTTAAGTCCGCAGACCGACGCTCTACCACTGAGCCAAACCGGTTTCGGCTATAGCAATGGTTTTAGATTGATGCTTGTTTCAACTCTACTGCCTGGCACATTACATTTTCTCTCTGTTTTATAGTAGTTTTCAAAAGAATTTATTAACTTTTTACCCAGTCTGATTTATTGCTGAAGGATGTCAAAGTTTAATGAATTATTCCTTTTTCCTTAAGAAGAGATACTGTGTTTCCCCGAAAATAAGACATCCTCCAAAAATAACACCTAGCGTATAGAAAGATAAGACATCCCCTGAAAATAAGACCTAGCACAACTTTGGGAGAAAATATTAATATAAGACGCTGTCTTATTTTTGGGGAAACAGGGTATGATATACTTTTACTGTGTAGGTGGAATTCTTAATAAGATTTATGATTACTGTTTGGCTTCCCAAATAGTAATCGATCTTTGGGTATTTTTGTGTTCTTTCTCTATATTGTTTATGTATGTTCATTTTGTATTTTAACATTCCCTCTCCTATCTTTGTTAGTGCACTTCTTTTGTGAGTTGAAACTTCTTACCCATGTTTCTAAGTTCTCTAAATTCTGATTCTTTTAGTCCTTGCTTTACTCTATACATTTAATTAATGTGTTATTTTCTCTCTTTGAATATAAATGGCAGCATCTAGAAACAAGGTTATGAAGAATGTTGAATTTTTCTTCATATTCTTAAAGTATATTTTTATTGATTTCAGAGAGGGAGAGATAGAAACATCAATGATGAGAAAGAATCATTGATTGGCTGCCTCCTGCATGCTCCCCACTGGGCACATGCCCTGACCAGGTTCATAGGTTGACGATGAACCACTGAGCTACACCAGCTGGGCTTTCTTCGTATTTTTGCCACTTTTTTAATGTTCAGTGAAAATGTTAAAGTACAGTGTAAGCTTGATTTTTATTATAAACCTGCTTCATATTATAATATTTTGGCTATTTATAAGCAAAGTGAGATGAGAGATTTAATGTCGCTATTATCTGATTCTGAATGATGGATAAATGTCTTATCATCTCTCTATTTTGTCTTCTAGGGTTATGACCATAGCTACTACTTCATTGCTACCTTTATTACTGATCACATCAGACATCATGCAAAATACCTGAATGCTTAAAAAAACTTCAGATACGAGAATCTCTTCAGGATTATAAAAATTATAATAATTGCAGGGAAAAAGATTTCAAAACATTGTATTTCATAGTGCTAAAAATGCTTCATTTTATAGTTGAATCACCTTCTGAATAAATATATGAAACCTTCTTCTGATTTTAAAAGTTATTTACCAGTTTTCACATGAGAAATTCATAATACTTTATAGTTATTTTGGTCATTTGGAAATGTTGTTGTTTGACCTCAGATCACAATATGAATGTAATCTCATTCAAATCAGAATGTCAAATCAGAATGTGGAACAGATTTAAAAGTAATTTAGCCCAGACTCTTCACCTTTCCATACTTTAAGCCTCTCAAGGTGCAGACTGTTTTTGTCATGTCCATTGTTATATCTCCAGTGTCTAGCAACTGCTTGACTTCTAGTAGTCATTTAATAATTACATGCTAGCTTTGAATTAGGAAGTAGGCTCAGAAAGGTTAAGTGAACTTTCCTTCTCATTATACAGTTATTTGTATAAGATTAGAAGCCTAAGATTAGAAGCCAGATTTCCTAAATCTAATCCAATGATACTTCTTATCTTTTGAGCCAAGTAGATTTTTGGGTGTATCTCAAATATAAGAATTAATAATATGAATTATCTGAAAATAGCTATTAAGGAAACAAGTTTCATGTGTTACTGTAAACATAGATTTTTTTCCTCTTAGTTACGTGTAGAAATTTAGCTTGTTGAGTTCACCATGAAAAGTAATTAGTCTCTTTGTAATACCAGATTGTGTTCCTTTAAGAACTTAATGGATAAACTTGAAACATGATAGATGAAATCTGATTGTTTTAAAATATATATATTTTTCTGTTAAAGAGCACAAAGTGTATATATCTTAAACATTCAATAAGAACATATATTACGTGGTAATGGAATAAGACATCAGATTCTTAAAGTTATAAAATTAATACTTTTTAAATATAAATTAGGTTGTTTTAAAAATTAGTGCTACTTAAATATTAGTGAAAATTGAGCCCTGTAGTGAGCTACATACAAAACTGTGCTAGTCTACACACTCTACTTTTCTCTAATGTTATGTAAATCACAAATGTTTTACATGTTGGTAGTTCCTTTGTAAAGAAAATGCTATGTGGTCCTAAGGTCAATGTATTAGTTGAGAATTTAGAGAAGAATAGCTAGTAGCAGCCCTATCTAATGAAAGAGTAATATGCAAATTGACCATCACTCCAAGACACAAGATGACCACCCCATGTGGTCAAAGATGACTCCCACAAGATGGCCTGCAGGGGAAGGCAGTTAGGTTGACCAGGCCAGCAAGGAGGGAAGTTGGGGGTAACCAGGCCAGTAGAGGAAGGCACTTGGAAGAGACACAAACCTGCAGGAGAGGGCAGTTGGGAGGAGACCAGGCCTGCATTGAGGGGCAGTTGTGGGGGAACTAGGTCTGCAGTGGAGGATAGTTGAAGTAGACCCAGGCCTGCAGGGGGCGGGGGGCAGTTAGGGATCACTGGGGCAGCAGAGGACAGTTAGGGGCAACCAGACTGACAGGGGAGGGCAGTTAGGGGTAACCAGGACAGCAGGGGAGGGCAATTAGAGGCAATCTGGCCTGCCAGGAAGTATTTAGTTATCAATCAGGCTGGCAGGGGTGATCAGAGTGCAGGTGTTTAGGGGGTGATCAGGGTGGCAGGTAGAAGTGGTTAGGGGCAATCAGGCAGAGGCAGGCGAGCTGTTGGGAGCCAGCAGTTCTGGGTTGTGAGAAGGATGTTTGACCATCTGGGCCTAAACGGGCAGTCAGACATTCCTCATGTGGTCCCAGATTGGAGAGGGTGCAGGCTGGGCTGAGGGACACCCCCTCCCTGTGCACGAATTTTGTGCACCAGGCCTCGTGTGTGTGTGTGTGTGTGTGTGTGTGTGTGTGTGTGTGAGAGAGAGAGAGAGAGAGAGAGAGAGAGAGAGAGAGAGAGAGAGAGAGAGAGAAAGATTTTTTATAAGGTATTTGCTTACATGACTCTGGGGGTTGACTACAAGTCTGAAACCCACAAGGCAGGCCATCAGGAAGGGAAGGTCATGAGCAGAATGGAACTCCATGAACAAGGGCTGCAGCTATTGTCCATAGCCAGAATTTCATATCTCTTGAGGAAGCCTCAGTCTTGCTTTCAAGACCTTCTAACTAAGTGAGAACAACCAGATAATTTTTCTTATTTGAAATGAATTGATTAGGGATTTTATATTTTCAAAATCCCTTCAGAGCAATAGCTAGATTGAATAACTGGGAACTGTAATATAGCCAACTTGGTACCTCATAAGAAAATAGTTGCAGGGTAAGCACAAAAACATTTAAATATTCAGTAAATAATTGCTGACATATAGCCAGGGATAACTGTAATAAAGAAAAAGACCTTCATTTACAGCATGGAATTGACCATTGACGATATTTAGAAAGCCAATACATTTGAGCTGCTATGTGTTGCAAATATTGGCCAGAAAAGGGATGAATCTTTATATATGCCTAAATGTAAAATGTTTCCCTCACCAAAATATTTCTCTCTTAAAGATGCATCTAAAATAATAAAAGCATAATATGCTAATTAGGCCAGACGTCTTTCCGGATGAAGCCAGAGCTGCGAGGAAAGCTCAGGTCCTGACAGCCAAGGAAGGCTTACTTTTGCACAAATTTTGTGCATCGGGCCTCTAGTATGTTTATAAGAAACCATCTCATCAACTTTATAGTAAACAATAAGTAACCTAAAAATGACCTAATATTAATTTTGTGTGCTTCTAAAAACCACCTGACAAAATCAGGTACAAAAATAGGCAAAGGAATTGACAGATTTCCTGGGTTATGATAGATATAAAATCCTTTTAAATCTCCCTTTAAGAAACAACACAGCAGTAAAGCCACCATTAAATGTAAAAGGGAAAATGGCAGTGGAGTAAATGGATTCTACACAGACATGATCTCAGGACAAAACTGGAATTACAACTAAAATACAAAAACACTATCCTGAATAATCAATTGAAGACTAGCTGGAGAGAACCCTGATAACTAAGGATGGAAAGTGGAGATTGCATAGAAACTGGTAGGAAGGGTAGAGACATGAAAGAGCTGGCTGTGCTTCCCTTAGCAGCTGAAGTTCCAGAGGATATCTGTGGGGGTTTGCTACTGAGAACATAGGGTCTAACCCCAAGCGTGGCCTCCAGCAGAGAGCACCAGAATTGAGAAAGGTGCCCACATAACATCTGGCTGTGAAAAGCAGCAGGGTTACTCTCTGCCAGGCAGACACCCTTTTAAAGGGCCAATGTAGCCAAAACCGGTTTGGCCAATGGATAGAGCGTCGGCTTGGGGACTGAAGGGTCCCGGGTTTGATTCCGGTCAAGGGCATGTACCTTGGTTGCGGGCATATCCCCAGTAGGGGGTGTGCAAGAGGCAGCTGATGGATGACTCTCCCATCGATGTTTCTAACTCTCTATCTCTCTCCCTTCCTCTCTGTACAAAATCAATAAAAATATATATATTTTTAAAAAGGGCCAATGTACAGAATTTTGAGTGTAGCTACTCACTTTGGGATCCAGCAGAGGTAGGGCAGAGTAGAATGGAGCTGTGTAAACAAAAGCCAGGGTTGGGGGCTCTGGGGTTAGAGCTCAGAAGGCAGATGCCAATTTCCTGTGCTGAGTCATTCTCTCCTGCTGTGGAGATCACTTTTCTTAGGCAGACATTTGCTATTCAGGCAGTTTTTGCCTGGGGAGAAGATAGTTGACTCCCTCTATTAGAAAACCCTGGTCCCACTCTGTTAAGTTTTTGAGGCCCATTAAGAGACTGAGGATACCAATAAGCCTCCAGGCAGAGGTAATTGCCCCACTGTTTAGAAACCTCTCACCCCACCTGTGGACAATTGTTTGGGACTACTCAAGACTGAATCCAATCAATCTGCAAAGCAGAGGTGGGTCTCTGGAGTCTTGGAGTCTTTGCTTGATCTAATTAGAAACAGCATTTGGAGAAGAAACTTAGTCAATTGTGAATAAGGTGGCTGCTGCTGAACCAATAAACAATAGCCAGGTAAGCAGTGTCAAGTAAGAACCATAAAAATCTTATGATCTATAAGGCAGGGTTAACTTCCTAGAAGACAGTGGTACTAGGTGGGTAACTCCATAGGTGTCTACTACAAATCCCTTCATATAGCATTTTGGTAAGAATTTCTGAGATAATGTATGCAAAATTGATTAATTCTACCTGGCATCTCTTCAAAGCCTACTAAATAAGCACTGTTTTTGCTAACAGAGAATTAGCTGAGAACATAATAGATAAGCAGCCTTGATTTAATGGTACTTATGATTCAGAAAAAAACACTAGCCACTCAAAAATACTGGCCATTGTGGTGGTCAATTAGCATGTGCATGTGGGGAGTAAAGATAGTGGTTTAGAGTAGAATCCTCCTTTACACACATGCCCCACACTCAAGCAGTACCAATTCTGAAGATAACAACAGACTCAATGAGGCCTGATCTCTGTTAGTTGACCTCCTGGAAAATGCAAAATTAGAGAGCGAGCTCTATTGGCTCACTGTTGCCCAGGTCTCCCAGGCTCATCCAGCAAGAACTGAGAAGCCCCCAGACACAGCTGTTGGCTAGAACTCGGTTTCTGGGATAGTTCCCAGCTATGGCCAATTCCATACGGCTGAACTGCATAGATGAACTTATTGCAAACATGTTCCTGCCAGGCTCTCCTGAGTGCTCCTGCTGCCATCATTCTTTTTGCCCTCACACACTCCTCAGTTGCTCCAGCCAACTTACAATGCAAAGTGTTTGTGAAGCCCGTACTTCTATGATGCGCAGAAGACTAAGACGACTGAAGTTTTGAAGTTTGGCACAAGAGCAGCATTTCCAATGAGAACACCATGAGTCAGGCATAGCTTAACATGAATCTTAAATGTAGAGGACCTGACACTGGTCACTGCAGTTCTTGCTCAGGCTGTTAGTCTCAGGTCTGTGTCTATTGTATGTGGGTTAGGATGAAAAGACAGAAACAATCCATCACTATTTTGACATGCAGGCAGGCTGTCCATGAGGAAAAACAATACTGGACAGATCTACAGGAAGTATAATCAATGCAGCCACTTGCTCTCTTTTTCTCTTTTTTAAAATTAAATCCTCACCTTAGAATGTTTACTGATTTTTTTTATTTGATTTTTTTTTAGAGAAAGAAGGTACAAAGTAGAGTAAAACATAGATTGAACAACTATCTCTCTCATACACCCCAATGGGGATTGGACCCACCACCTTTGGGTATGTGGGATGACACTCCAACCAAATGAGCCACACCAGCCCTGAGCCACCTTACTCTCTGTGTCAGACTCCACACGGAGGACCAGACCCTGTGGTTTTACAAGATGCACCACAGAAGCTCCAGGCTTTCTCCAAGAAACTTCTGGAGCCACCACCAGGTGGAGAGACACTACCATCTCACCATATTAACTCTATTTTAACTGTTGTATGTTCTGTGGTTCCACGTAAGATTTAGTTTTGAAATCTCTCTCTCTCTCTCTCTCTCTCTCTCTCTCTCTCTCTCTCTCTCTCTCTCTCTCACACACACACACACACACACACACACACACACACACACACTAGATGATTCCCTCATAAGATTTCTGTTGTGACCAGTGTTAACCTTTGCATCACGTGGGTAAGTCAATCAGAAAATGGTTTGTTCACACTCAAAGTTTTAATGGCCATTAAATAAGAAAAGGAAGGCTATTTGCACTACATACATTCTGTCCACTGATGGTACTGTTAGCTGGCAATGCACATTTTATTGCACATATAAACAGTGTACAATAATCTTAAAGATATTTTAGCTACACAAAGGGCTGCATTTAAAAGAAAGAAAGCCATTTTACAAAATATAGAAGTTATTTGTATTATATAGACAATGTCAAGGAAATACTGAAGATTAATATCAAAAGAAAAAAATTTAATCTTGAAAAAGAAATCTCTCAAAACTAGGATTACAGAGCTTCATGTTGCCATATATATATATATATATATATATATATATATATATATATGTATGTATACATACATATATATGTATATATACATATACATACACACACACACATATATACATACACATAAAAATATTTCAGGACCCTGCATCTGAATGCCCATCAAGGTGCAGCAATAAAAACTCCTATTTCTATAATCAACCTCTGAATGTTGCTTATATTGAATACGCTCCTCGTTCAAAATTACTTTCTGTTTTACATCATTATGGTATTTGACAATAGATATTTGTGCAGTACAGAAAAATATTAAAACATATTTTAAGTTAGGTTAAAGTGCACAGTACATTTAATAGGAAAGAACTGAAAGCTGCAAATGCAAACCATCATGTTATAACCCCTCACCGTGCCCAGAGAGCAGCCAAGGCCTTGGCTGATGTTAGATTGTGCTCAATGCACATCATCTTCCTGGCATGTTTTCTTTTGTGTTCACCTTTTGTTTCTCTTAAAAATTGTGGCTGCTGCTGCTGCTCTAAAAACGGAGGTGAAGAGGAAATGAGCATTCACGAGACGGAGAAAGGCGACCGACTGGAATACCCGGGACAGCAGGGTGGAGGCTCATCACATAGCTGCCTACCACCAGGCTGTGGTGTCTGGGAGGTCTTGTCTGAATCTCGCAGACCAACATGGGTACTGGCTCTCATTTAGTCATGTTTCCTTTGAAATGCTCCCTGCTAGGCAACTCAGCCTCACAAAGGCAACCTTCCCCTAGCCCTCTCCTAACCCCTTGCATCCCCACCCATTTTTGCATGCAGCTAACTCACCAACTTACTTTCTTTTACAGTTTCACCTCAGAGACCATGAATCTTGCAGTGTTTTATGGGCTACTCTGAAATCCACTAACTAAATTACAATAAAATGAGCATGTCCACATCTCAAAATCTTTTCCTCTTTGAAAACTGGCAGTGTTGGTTTCACGATTCAGGTCTTATATGTCTGATGTAACTCTTGATCACTCTCAGTTGAAGCTGCCCTTTAAGAAGCTTTTTGGTTCAACAATAAACTTAGTATCACCTTCACTTTCCTATACCATTTCTTTATTTCCTTTGGTACTAGACTTCTTTAAATCTCAAGTTACAGTGCAAAATCATACTTCAAGATACATGATGCTAACACATTACTTCGTGTTAAAATGTGAATGTTTTGTATATAGCAAAATAAGTATGAATCCAAAAAATAACTGTTCACATTTTATCTTTAAGTTTAATGTCTTTTTTCTCATCACAGCTATTTACAAATAACTTTGGGGCGCTCTCTTGATTTCAGTCAGTTTATTGTATCAGGGGACAACAGGGCTGCTGGAATGTAGGAAACTGGATGGAATGCAGAAATATAAACAAGACCAACATTCTATAAACCAAAGTGTAAGTAATGCCTCCCCAGAAAACAGTTCTTGTCACAGAAGCACCTGTTATTTTTCTGAGTCATATACACCAGAAAACATGATTATTGAGACCTAGACAATGCACACCAAAGAGGATAGAAAATAACTCAATATTTATAATTTAAAAAGTGTTTAACCACAAAAAAAGCAGTAATAAAATAGTTTCCTAATTTACAATTTGCACCCAAAGGATGAATAACAACTCACTAATAAATAATATTTATATAAATATTTTGTATGTCGAAAATAGATTTTTAAAAGGCAATGGTCTCAAGAAATCTCTTGAAAAATTTGGTGATAAAAACTTGATTGAGTCCCTCCCTCATCCTCCCACTAAATACACAATGAGTTTGGCTTCAGTGAAACAAGTGCATGTTGCTGCAAAGCAGTTGTGCTTGGTGTTTGGTAATGGCAGTGGGTGAGCATGGAAGGGGTGTGGGAGGTTGAAAAAGGCCTCGACGTGCTGTTAGCTCTTCGTAACCAGCTCCCTCACTGGCTTCAAGATAAATATCTGTCACATCTTAATGTCGGAGGTCAGTTCTGAAAGGCAGGAAATCTTCTCTGAGGTCCTCCCTTAAATGCAACTAGACTCATGAACACAGGCAATGGGTGGGAGGATGGGGGAACTGGTGCCGAGAGCAGAGTTCAGGATCTCTGATGGGAGAAGGGTTTGGGCCGACCCAAAGGACAGGAGTTGGTTTCATGTGAATACAGCCTTCATTATAGGTACATCTAGCAATGCTTGAACAGTAATGCCCACTTTGACCAGGCCTTTCTCTTCAAGGATGTGATGGGGTAGACATAGCTTTTCCTAAAAGAAAGAACAAACATCAATTTTTAATGACTGGTACTTGATCATAAAATCTTACAACAGCACTGATGGCAGTTGAGCTCAGACCATGTTTCTTTTCTTGTTTCCAGCCCATTACATAGAACTTTACTGTATTTGCAGAGAAAATAATGACTTTATACAAATAAGGGTTGATCCAAAAAAAGTGTCCAATCATCCTGAAATATGCAATACATCTAAACATTTAACAAAACTTTATACTGAATAATAGCTATACACAGTCAGCTGAAAATCACACATTAAGGGCATATTAGCTTATATTATAATTTTTAAAAAACATTCTTTATGATTCCCTTTTTTTTTTTTTTCCAGAGAGGAAGGGAGAGGGAGAGAGAGATAGAAACATCAATGATGAGAGAGAATCATTGATTAGCTGCCTCCTGCATATCCCACACTTGGGACCAAACCTGCAACCCAGGCATGTGCCCCCCACCAGAATCAAGCCTGGAACCCTTCAGTCTGCAAACTGATGCTCTAGCCACTGAGCCAAACTGGCTAGAGCAGCTTATATTCTTATAAAGCAAAGTTGCAAATAGCCTTTCATACATTTCAAAAAAAAAAAAATATATATATATATATATATCTTTATTGACTTCAGAGAGGAAGGAGACGGAGATAGCTAGAAACATCAATGATGAGAGAGAATCACTGATAGGCTGCCTCCCACGCCCCCCCCCCCCCTTCACACTGGGGACTGAGCCCATAACCCAGGCATATGACCTTGACCGGAATCGAACCCAGGACCCCCTAGTCCAAACGTGCACACTCCATCCACTGAGCCAAACTGTCCAGGGCCCTTTCACACATTTTTAAAGGAACTCAAATACTCATTTATACAGATCACACACTGTTCTATTGACCATGAACTTTGGTCCAATTTATTTTATTTCCTACGACCTCTGGAATGGAGGCATGCTGGTGGATAGGTATCTTTTCTTCCTGCTTTATGAACAGTCTTATAATTAATTTTAATAGCCTCTCTTTAAGCCTCTTTCTTACTGCTGTCAAAGACACAAACATTCTGCTACTTTCTTGTTGTAATTTTGCTCTTAGGAAATGTCCAGCACACGAGTCACTCCTGGTATGTAGAAGCTTGCATGCAAAATAGTTTATAAAATAACATGATGAAGTAACTTTACGCCGTTGTCATTTGGCTCTGGAGATGGGGGATCACTTTTCAGAGTGACTCCAGAAAAGCTCCACAGCGAACACTGCCTCTTTTCTACTCCATAATGGTTGTTTCTTCACAGCTCAGTGACCGCTGTTTTCAAGGGAAGTTTAAACGGAGATAGTGTTCAACAGGAACAAATCAGGGTATCTGGACAGACTGCTTCCTTTTCATGTGACTCTTGCTTGAGGAACTAGTTCTTCCTATTGCCTCAATGGTAGGACTCTCCACAAATTAGTACAGATATAGGCCTTCTGGTCTCAAAAAGACATTCAAACAACACACCATGACACATCCAATAACTTGTTGCACTGCTTCAAAATATGTTTTCCTACACTGTCTCAATCATCTTTCTACTCCCACCTTTAACTTCTTTCCTAACTTGAGGTAAATTCAGAGTATCTCTGAAACTAAATCTAGATCTAAGAAGTAGCCCATGTCAACATAAGAAATTACTGAAAGCATGATTCAACCATTATCTCATCTGATTGCTATGCATTGAAATACAATTATCCTGTCGCCAATGGGCATATAAGGTGGGCATGCAAATTTATGCCCCTTGCCAACTTAGTAGCTGAATGTCAACCAAGAAAAAGGGTGGGAGATCCTATGGGAGTTGGGCTGTGCACTGGGCCAGGATGGGCAGTTTGCGTCCTCCTTGTGCCATAGCTGGAGGTCAGTTTGTACCCTTTCCTGATGCCATAGGGGTGTGAAGTCACCCACATCTGGCATTTTATTGCTAAGGGTGGTACTACTGGGGCAGGGATGTACTTTTCTCATTCTTACGGCTCTCACAGCACCCAAGTCAACCCCTGGTTTGGTGGGTCATGACCACTGACATGGTTAAGCTCCTAGTGCAGGGCATTAGTTGGGGGGAAAATAAAATCTTCACTTTACAACCTATGTTAAAGTCAAACTGAAATGAATTAAAGAGTTAATTGTCTGTTTTTAAAAATCTCTCCTAATAAGATATAGATTAATATATAGTACTTTCTCTTATTGTCTAAGCTAAAAAGGCAAAATAAAAAAATCACAAAAATATTTAAAAATATTCTTGCTTAAAAGTTTAAAGCGTGCATACGTCAAAACTCCTACATTATTTAAAAGATTTAAAAAACTATAAAAAAGTATTTACATCAAATTACAAGTGTTTTATATGACTCGTAAACGCAATAAATCAGTAAGAAAAGCATTAAGAAACCAATGGAACATTGGGCGAGGAACACAAATAGAAATTTAAAAATGAAAGTTATGCCCAAGGCATTTTGAACAAGACATTTTGCTTCTCAACCTCAGTGTTTTCTTACATTTAGTTCTGAATGTTCCTGAACTCTAGTGTTATCTCCACAGGGCCTAATCTCTAAGTATGTGGCTCTTACAGGGCTAGATGTCCTATCCTGCATCCAGCTTGAGATGGAACGGGCCTCCATTAATAAATGTCCCAGTCCCCTTGATGAGCAGTGGCTCCTGTGGCTGAAGATGTTCCAAGCTGATGGTCATGGAGACGTAACTGACTAAATAACTTAACGTTATTGTCTCTCCTGGGCCTTTATTTCTTAAACCAGCATTTCTCACCTTCCTGGTCTCCCAAGCCCTTTGGGAATGAGAACCAAATAGAAGACATTTAAATTTTAATGTTAGAAGAGCCTAATGGCTTTCCTTGAGAATATGGCAGCACACTGTTCTAGTATACCCACGAGCTTCTTTCATCATGGAAGCCTCAATGCACTGTAGAGCTAGATGAAAATGGTGATCACCACTCTGGGTATGCACAAAAAATGTATTGATGAGCTGATAAAAACTTGGAATAATCACCCAAAATGTGTTTATTAAGAACTTATGGATCAGGGTGCTGGTTAGACATTGAATAAAGGGATTTTATTGTTACAGATTGAAGAGTACAAGTTAGCACCAAAGACAATTCAGTACATCTGCAGGTTATTTATACATAACTGAGGTTAATTCGATAACTTCACATACCCTGTATTTCACCAATCAACACAAATTCAGAAGGAAAAGGTTCAGTTAACTCAAGATATTATCACGTCATCTCCTATTAGAAAATCTGAGCTGCTTAGCAACAAAGAATCTTTATAAATATACTTGTCTAACTATATGGGTTATCTACATCCTCAAGTAGCCTAGATTCATGGAAATGTTCATAAAAATACAATTATCATTTTAATAGCTGTCTATGAAGATCACTTGCATCGAATTACACTAGAAATTTACTAGTATCTTGAGGAAGCTAACTCCATCAGTTCCCCAACTTAATAAACAATATTTGGCAACCAGATTAGAAGGAAAATAGGGGATATTGTCTTAACCTTAGAGCAGGGCTTTCTCATATTAGAAAAAGACAACCCAGAACCAGAAATATCTTGGCCTAGATTAAATTATATTGGTTTTATCTTTTCAATGCAAACTGACCACCCTGCTCCAAAGCAGATATAGTTAGTATATAATCCTTTAAGCTTACTTAAAAATAAAAACATTATGCTAACAATGGTTAAATGGAAATTTCAACTTATTTAGATAAATTACATTCTTCTAAAATAAGAGCAATATTATTATTAGCTCCTGCCACAGAAACCAGGCTCCAGGACTAAGAATGTTCCATGACTCATGGCTTTATTTAAAAACAAATAGTCAAATTTATCACATTCTGGACCTACTGTTAGAATGTGATGTAGCAAAAGCCAAAATGACCCATTCATTATTTAAAAATAGAAATCTCTTCTCTAGAGGCTAACAAGGAGAAGTAAAAATATATGGGAATTGGTGTGCAAACAAATCTCCCAGGTAGTGCTCTAACACAGATGGCCCTTCCTTCCCTAGAGCTGCTGCCTCACGCAGCAGGGCAAGAGGGCTGGCTCAGGGCAGAAGTGGGCGCAACCCTCCCTGCTACCCCTCACAGCTCCCACAGTAGGAATCAGCGAGGAACCCAACTAACTGACCAGCAAAGCAGTCATTCCCCAGATGGGATTTTTCAATTTGGTCAATAGTTTTTTTTTTGTTTTTGTTTTTACTGAAGAGTTTTATAGACCAAATTGGGCCAAAATGCTGTTTTTCTGTCTCCTTTGCAAGGGGAGTGGAGAACCCCTACAACTCAATTGCCCAGTCCTGAATTGGGTTGAACTTAAATACTGCAAAGGAAAGATTTTCATATTCCCTTTTGCTCCTGTTCTGGAAATTCTACTGTACCTAGGGCAGTGAAGCTCACTGGGGAGATGGAAGAGGATCTGTATAGCACTCCTGCTGGCATGATGTGGGCTGTGGCTGAGGAAGCATGAGGTGTGAATACACTTTGTTCTCACTGTTTTTCAGGAAGTGAGAAGTTAAGGAGAACTGCATTCTATAAGTTTGTGCTTTTGGAAAATCTGATTGGTAAAAGTTCAGCTTCAAAACTCAAGAGACTACTGAAGAGATAACAGGGAAGTTTGCAAGGCAAAAGGTCAGATGGAGGAAGGACCCCTAATGGATAAGGGACAGAGCAGAGCGCTTGGATGCACATGCAGACTTTATGCGGACAGGGCATTCCAGCGGTAAGTGATATAGATCAGCACTATAAAGAGAATATGGACAAGACAGAAGCTTATAAGGTCCCTGGAGCGGAGGGCAGAAGTTGGTTGTGGGGGTTTCTCCCCGAGTGCCAGCAGAGTGTCAACAGTCTTTCGAATGTGACGAAAATCCAACTGCAGGATGTCATACGGAGAGCAGAGGTCAGCCTATTCCGAGGGCAGCCATTAGAACAGAAAGAGATAGTGCATACAATTAAAAATACACAGAAGAA